TTTTGAGAAGGAAGCTTGAGCAGGCAGGTCTCACTGTCTGTGGAATTTCTCACCTTGTCTCTAATTGGGAAGGTAATTACTGTGGGTAAAACCCCAAAGGCCTGGATTTGAATCCCAGCCCTGCTACTTAGTCTGTAAGACCTTGAACAGGCTACCTCACTTTTCTGTGTCTCATGGTACTTTTATAGCCTGTAATCACCTGATTTATATGTTTATTTTTTGTGCCCCACAAGAGGCTCCTTAAAGTCTGGCGTCTTGCTTGTCTTATTCATTGTTGGGCCTCTGAATCTAGCACAGACAGTACAAAGCAGGCAGTATGCGTTGAGTAAATATTTGCAGCTGAGTGAAGGACAAGTGAATTCACTAATGGATTTTCCAAGCAGGTGTCCATACGTCACTGTCCAAGAGGCACAGGGCTCTACATGTGATCCTCACCTTAGAGCCTTTTTCCAGAAACCATGTTTCATGGCCACGGCTTGAATCAGCACAGACACATTCCATCTTGTATTTTCATCATTTCTTTTAGCATTTAAGGCTGAATCTATAACACATAATGGTAATTGATATATTTATAATGTGCCAGAAATTATTAAAAATCAAATGAAGTAGAATTTCACTATACTGTGCTTTAAGAGCCAAATAAAAGGTACATTTTAGAAACATTTCCATCAAAATAGGAAAGACCTTCAGAACTGAGGGGTTGACTTCAGCTTTTGGGCTATTTATTTAACCATTCAGCATATATCTCTAAAAGATATAACAAAACAAAAACCACACACCTCAGTACCATTACTGTACCTAAAATAAAAAAAACAAGAATTTCTTAATATTTTCAAATTTCTAGTCATGTTAAAATATCCCCTGTTGTCTCATAAATGTCTCTTTGTTATTGATTTGTTTGAATAAGAATTCATACCAGGTCAACATGTTGCATTGAGTAACCTTTAAATCTCTTTTAATTTTTAATGGTCCACGCCCCCCCCCCCCCCCGGCCAATTTTTAAAATTAAATAAATCAGATCATTTGACCTGTAAATTTCTCATAGTCTCGATTTTGCTGATTGCAAAATCATGGTGGCATTTAACGAATTTAAATCTATTCCCTATAAACTTATACAGCTAGGGGCTTGATTAGATTCAGGTTTGACTTTTTGGTAAAACTACTTCACAGGTATCTGGGTGTACTTCTCATTGCATCGTGTTGGGAAACATTATATCTGGTTGTCTCTTTTTGTGATACTAAGATTGATCAGTGGGGTCTGCCTGCTCTCTCTATTCTAAACTTTCGTGTAATGCAGTGGTTCTTAGCCCTGACTACATGTTAGAACATCTGTGGAGTGTTTACACCTTTCTGGTGCCCAGCCCCCACTCTCAACAATTAACTGGTCCAGGGTAGATCAGGCTCCGTAATTTATTTAGAGTCCGAGGTGATTTTGATGTACAGACAGGATTCAGAACTACTGTCCTGATCATTTTGGTCTCTATTGAGGATCCTTGCCTAGAAATTCATTATTTCAGAAGGAGTTGATAAATAGTGATACTCTGTCATGCTTTCTTCACATATTACCAGAAATTCGTCTGTAAAAGCTTTCATTAAGTCTTTGGTTCTTTAGTTTTTATAGAAAAGGTTGGATAAACATTGGATTCTTAACAGTTTTCTGAATAATGATTTGAGTATCCAACATTCTACAAAAGTGACCAGTGAGTTTTGTTTAAGTGTGATTATGAATTTACACATTTTTAGCATATTTGATGTTTCAAACTATTATGTTGACTGTTGTTATTATTGCTATTAGTTTGATACTCAAATTGCTTGAAATGTAGCCAGTGGAAGCTCTTCCAAGTTAGCTCCTTGGACTTTTATTTTTTATATTTTGATAACATGAGTAGTATTTGATTGCTTCCTTGCTTTTACATTTGACATATTTTAGGCTTATCTTGTGCATTTCATAATTTAATTGCCCTGTGGCCTCTTGATCTTGTGCAATTCCCCTTGTGGACCTGGAATCGGTCATTAAATAGTTTAGCTACGTGTGTCCTATTTGGTGACTTTCTATTTAGTGGCTATGTCGTGATTACAAAATGGAATGGCAGATATATAAAGTAAAAGTAAATCTCAACAGGAAATTAGGGAAAAGCATAATGGTTATGTCAGGCAATATCCTTATTTTTATTTTTTTACTGTTAATCTGGCAGAGAATGTTGCATGAATCCTTCGTAACTTTTGTATTTTTTTCTTTCCAGTTAATGTCCATCAGCGTTTTGGCAGTTTCTGCTTGGATGAGGGACTACCTGAATAATGTTCTGACTTTAACTGCAGAAACAAGGTAGGCTTTACAAGTAATGATTGATGTCTTTGATAAGGTTTCCTCAGGCGCTAGTTTCTAGGTAACTTTGCCCTCAGCTGTTTAGAGGGTATTGTTGCTAAGTTCATTTGGGAAGTTTTCCCTGCCCGTGGCAACCTTTGTTACTGCTGTCTGCATTTTTCTAGCATTCTCATTAAGGTCCTGAGAGATCATTCCTGTCTTCCTGACAGTGTGTCAGCTCTGTCATATTTGCATATAAAGGACAGCAGAGCTACTTTTTTTTCTACAAAAATCATCCCCAACCTTGTTGCCTTCGTATTCCTGAGCTCAGGAAAACCAAACCCACTCAGTGCCATTTCTTCTCAAATTTCAAAGGTTGGTCCACTAACCTCGAGCAAATTACTCAACTTCTCCTAGCCGCAAAAATTTATTTTTCATCTCCGAATGGGCAATGTAATATATTCCACTCTGAAATGTCCTAAGGATTCACTGAGATATTTTTGTAAAGTCCTTAACACAGTGGAGTGTTGTTAGGGTAATTTTTGTTATTCCCATTATTCTTCCTATTATGGCTGTCGTCAATGTTTTTTTTTTCATAATTTTCTAGCAAAAATCATCTCTCCCCCTTCCTTTTTTTTTTAAATGGAGCCCCAGATCCGTGAGGAGGAGGAGGGAAGAGACTCCTCAGCTGGGAAAGAGAGAAGGGTACAGCGTGGTCCCCCAGGCTGAGGCTTCAGAGCTCACAGTAGATGGACTTCTTGTTAAGGATCTCTAGCTCATCATATGTTTTAAATGAGTTGAAGTCGGAATGTACCACTTGTATAAAAAAAACTAAAACGAAACAAAGCAAAAATAAAACAAGCACGCACATTGCTGAGATAGCACAGTGATTTTGAGAATAGCAATGCAGCTGTTGTCTTTGCGCATGATGATTTAGAGGTAATTAAGGCAGATCACAGTTGGGTCTTGTACCATGTCCTGGGTGCCTTTTGATCACAGTTTCTTTGTAATGTGACACATGCTTGTTCTTTTTCAGGGTAGAGGAGGCCGTCATCTTGACTTACTTTCCCGTGGTTCATCCGGTCATGATTGCGGTTTGCTGTTTCCTCATCATCGTGGGGATGCTAGGATACTGCGGAACGGTGAAGAGAAATCTGTTGCTTCTTGCCTGGGTATGGTGTTTCTGTCTTCTCTTTATTGTGGTTAAAAAGACCAACCAGTAGCGGACTATTTTTTCATCAGTGCCCAAGACTCTGTACTTAGGGAGCTATGACAGCAGTGCTCTTACCGGGGTAATTGTTCCACAGCCTGTGAGGAGGGGAGCCTTTTCCAGGAGAGATGACTTGAACCCAAGTCTTTGCTTTACTCAAACGATGCGGAATGGAAATATGTGCTCTACTTAATTGTTTCACTCAGGCTATGTGCCGCCCTTTTCATTCAAAAGTATGAGTTTTCTCAAGAGTCGTGGACCTTATGACCACTCTGACAGGTCCCTGAGACGTCAGAATGGAATGCGCTTTCTTTCTCTCTTCTTTTAAAAACCGATCTGCCATATAAGCTCCTACGGAAGTTCAGGTGGTCAGGTAGCGGACAGACATTACCGTCCTGGCACTGCCTTTACATGAGTTAGCACATGTAAGTGAGTCTCAGTGTCTATGATCTTAGTGGTTTTTTATTTTTAAATCTGAAAGTCTTTTCTAGATTATTTCTTTAAGTCCCTTCAGCACTCAAAGTCTATGATCCCAAAATTTGTGCTTAAACTTTTACTGAAAAAATTAGCAAACTCTCTTTTAACATTGAAAATCTGAGTCAATTAAAAGTACAGCTTGTATAAAGATTAAATAATTTTTTTTTGCTAATCCTCACTCGTAGATACTTTTCCCCTTTGCTTTTGAGACAGAGTGGAAGGGAGGGAGGGATGGGGATAGGGAGAGGAAGAGGGAGAGAGAGAGAGATACATTGATGTGAGAGAGACACATCGATAGGTTGCCTCCCACATGTGCCCTTGACTGGAAATCGAACCCAAGATTCTTCAGTGCATGGGCCAACACTCTAACCACTGAACACACTGGCGAGTGTTGTAAAGATTGTTTGAAGTGCATTGAGTGTATAAAACATTACATGTTAGTGGCACCAGGTATTGCGGCTGCTAATATAATTGCAGACATATCAGATGTCCCCCAGAATTAATTCATTGAGTATATTCATTTCTGTGCAGTACTTTTCAAGGCTAGTTACGCATTAATTCCTTGTAGGGAACATAATAAATTCCTGTGTGCTGACATGCTGGATGTCTGGGCAGAAAAAAAGGCCCTGATTTGTAGCGTTTGCAGGTTTCTGTGAGGTAAATACTCCCAGCATAGTGGATTTTAGGTTACCAACATGGTATCACTGAACGCAGAACTGGGGAGAGATGAGTGCAAATTGGCCCTGAGGAGCCAGCTGGGCACACCAGTGCTTGATTGGCTCCCTCCCAAGCCCATTAAGCAGAGCCTAGTGAGAAGCTGCACGGAGCCTTTGAGTTTCCCAGGGACAACCTGTGCTACCGTATTCCTGGGCTTCTCAGAGGAAACCTCTTCAGGCCCACGGTTAGAAGACAGAATATACCGCAGACAGTACCCCACACCCAGAGAAGGGGACCGTGCCCGGGGCCTCACTTCTCTCCACAGTGCTGGGAAGCATGGGGAAGGCTTCGGAACCTTATTTCGCCATTTAAGATATTTGGACAGTAATTTAAACATAATCGAAAGGACTTACTTTAAATAAAACTGATAGTTTAAAGCATGGGTGAAGTATTTTAAACGGAAAAATCTCAGAGTCCTTATTTATTTATTTGTTTGTTTGTTAATCTTCACCGGAAGATATTTTTCCATGGTTTTGTTTTTTGTTGTTTTTTTACTGAAGGAGGAGAGAGTGAGGGAATGGGGCGGGGGGGGAGATGTAAACATCAATGTGAGAGACACATTAATTGGTTGCCTCCCAACTCAGCCCAGGGATCCAAACCTGCAACCCTTCAGTGCGTGGCCTGACACTCTAACCACTGAGCAACACCGGCCAGGGCTCCGAATCCTTTTTAAACCCATACTCTCACAATGATGATTTATTTACACCAATTTAAGTGTGACTGCTATTCTCCCCTCCCCCCAGCTCGTATGACTGGATGGTCCCTGGACAGTGGGCTGGGGTGGGTGGCATAGCATATTTCATGAACCTAAAGGCTCTAGGAACACATTTCAAAACCACTTATGCATCACATTAGTCTACTCAAATGCTGGTAAGTCAAGTGGACAAGAAGAGTGTAATTTGGTCTCTACCTGAGGCAGGATGAGTCATAAAGACTTGTGCCCGAGAGGCTAGTGTGTGAGGCTGGAAAGAGCCTTCCGATGCAAAGGTGACGTGTTGACTGAGGTTCTAAGGGCCATTCACTTGTTCATTTATTCATTCTTCAAATATTTATTGAGAATATAGGCACTACTAATCTCTGCCAGTGCATACGATGGACAAACAGTCCCACTAGTCAATGGTAAGATCTTGAATAGGGTTTTCACCAGGTGCTCTGAGGTGGAGCGAAGACCTCCAAGCTCAGCCTCAAGGGCTCAGTACCGGCTCCAGGAGGTTGATCGGCCCGAATTGATATGCTCTATCCCACTCTCTTTACTTGGCTCACTCCTTTTCAGGGTAGCTTTTGGTGCATTGCCGTCCAGTGTGTGCATGTTGGATGCGCCTTCCCATGGACTGCCTGGGGGCATTTCATTCCCATCGGGCTGCTTCTCTTGTCAAAGCTGGTTTCCAGGCCTTAGTTTGTCTAGACCAGGGGTGGGCAAACTTTTTGACTCGAGGGCCACAATGGGTTCTTAAACTGGACCGGAGGGCCGGAACAAAAGCATGGTGGAGGGTTTGTGTGAACTAATATAAATTCAAAGTAAACATCATTACATAAAAGGGTACGGTCTTTTTTTTTTTTTTAGTTTTATTCATTTCAAATGGGCTGGATCTGGCCCGCGGGCCGTAGTTTGCCCACAGCTGGTCTAGACCCAACACAGCTTTTCCCTCGCTAAAGAATGATCTGTGATCTCAATCTGCCAGTTACCTGCCACCCAAAACCAATCTGCCTCTGATCTGCTGCTCAGGTATTCTTCCCTGGTTTCCTCTCCAGAGCCTCCTCCTCTGAGCACTTGCCAAGTCCTGTAAGTTCTTGATCTACCACTCAGGAACCTGTCCCCTCTTCTCTACTCTTATTCGTAATGCCCAGATTCAGGCTCTCCTGACTTCTACTGACACAGTGCAGAGCCCCTAACGGAACTCCTGCCTCTGTTTCCTTCTGACTTACCCCAGACTAATGTCACCAGGTTAATATAATGCAACAGTAGTCGTGTTACCCCTCTGTTCTGAAACCTTGAGGGAGTCCCAGGCGGGTAATGAAGTATTTAGTGATGCCTCAATCTTGCCTCAGTTTCTTCTGTAATCCAGTCTTTGTCCTCCATTTTTAGCTTGCTTACCTACTTTATTATTCTCTGGTCAAACTGTATCTTCTGAGCCTTGAACAAAGTTTTTGCTCCATTCTTCCCTGCTGTTATTCTTGCTGTCCCCTTAGCTGGGAATTTCTTCTTAATACTTTTGTTTTAATACTTCCAGTCCATTAAGACTTGTCTAACATACTATCTCCAGAAATCATAATAATGACAAAGATGATGGTGACAATTAAAGTAGTGAACATTTCTCAGGTGCTTACAGATGCTGCAGAGGTTTACCTGAATGTTGTATATGAAGAATTTTACATGAATTAATCAGTGTTGTCCTCTCCAAAATTCTAATGAGATAGACACTATTTTTATTACCATACGATAGATAAGGAAATGAGGCACAGATTGGTAAAGTGATTTGCCTAAGTTTGCATAGCTAGGAAATGGAGAACCTGGTATGCAGACATGGCAATCCAGTTCCAACAACATATTTATAACAATATCACTCTTTTATTCTATAATTGCTCCCTTTTCCCACGTGCTTATAAACATATCTGACAGTGTATAAAACATTTTCCCGATGATCTTTCATTTTAAACCTGACAATGATAATCTAATAAAGATAATTATAAATGAGATTCAGAGAAGTTCCAAGGTCACTCAGCAATAATGGTAGAGTTTTGATTCAGGCGTTAATGTTTCTGACTCCTAAGCCCATTCTCATTGGGCCTTTACTGATGTCTCTAATAGATGCTCCTCAACCTTTGTGGTCCAGTGCATTCCCCTTTTTATAAATTTCATTTTTTAATAACCAGATCAAACTCCCAGACTACAAACAACTTGATAATACAAACCATTCACCTTGCCTATTGCTTTTTAAAAAATATATTTTTATTGATTTCAGAGAGGAAGGGAGAGGGAGAGAGAGATAGAAACATCAGTGATGAGAAACATTGATCAGCTGCCTCCTGCATGCCCCCTACTGCGGATCGAGCTCACAACCTGGGCAGGTGCCCTTGACCGGAATCCAACCTGGGATCCCTTAGTCCACGGGCTGACACTCTATCCACTGAGCCAAACCAGCTAGGGCTTGCCTATTGCTTTAATAAGTGTTCACTAAATTGAATAATGGACAAAATTAGAGCAGTGGGAGTAGGAGTGACTACACATCAGGTAGGGGATGGTTCCTGGAAGGCAGTGAGGAGAGTGAGAATTTAAAGGAGGAGCCTGACGACTAGGTAGGGCTAGACCACGAAGGGAATGGCTTGTTAAGGGAGCGCAACAAAAATATGACATGATGTTGTTGCTCTTTGGCAAATATTTGCAAGGCGGCTCTCATGGTTTCTTCCTTTGTGCCCTTTAGCTTTTCATCCTAAGTTAGAAAAAATTAAGGAAGATCCTTATTTTAATTTATTTTTCAAATTAAAGAAGAGCTTCTTTAGAAAGCCATAGAGGTAGAAGAAGTGAGCTGTGGAAGAAGTGAGCCAGCTGAGCTGCATGGGCTCAGGGAACAAGTTACAGAGGAAAAAGAAGGGATCTTGGAGCTTGGGAGAAAGGCAAGGAAGATGGACTTGAGGGGAAGGGAGTGGGGAAAGGCATGGGTTTATTCCATAGAGCAGTGGTTCTCAACCTGTGGGTCACGACCCCTTTGGGGGTCGAATGACCCTTTCACAGGGGTCGCCTAAGACCATCGGAAAACACATATATAATTACATATTGTTTTTGTGATTAATTACTATGCTTTAATTATGTTCAATTTATAACAATGAAAATACATTCTGCATATCAGATATTTACATTACAATTCATAACAGTAGCAAAATTACAGTTTTGAAGTAGCAACGAAAATAATTGTATGGTTGGGGGTCACCACAACATGAGGAACTGTATTAAAGGGTCGCGGCACTAGCAAGGTTGAGAACCGTTGCCATAGAAAGAACTGCCTCTTTTTTTTGTTGTTAATCCTCACCTGAGGATATATTCTTTCCATTTCTTTTTAGAGAGAGTGGAAGGGAGGGAGGGGGAGAGAGAGAAACATTGATGTGAGGGAGATGACTGGTTGCTCCCCCCCTCCCCACTCCCAAGTGCGTCTACCAGTGCTGGGGGTCAAACCTGCAACCTAGGTACATAGCCTTGACTGGGAATCAAACCTGGGACCCCACAGTGCGAGAGCCTACACTCTAACCACTGAGCCCCACTGGCCAGTGTGAGAGCTGCCTCTTTTTTTAAATGTAAATATTTAAACAACCAGAATGCATTCAATCCATCTTGTCTATTTCTCTGTA